CTCGACGTATGCTACATGTCGTAGCATGTAGCTTACACTCAAGTCCGCGAGTGCGCAAGCAAGGTAGTAGTTGCTTTGCACGGATGGCTCTGATCCCGAAGACCAGTGTGCTGCCTGTAGCAGCTGAATTCTGTCTGATTGAAGACTACCGCAGAAACAGACTGAACCATAGCATGAGACTGACCGACACCAACGCGCTGCCCGGGTTCGAGGACTTCATGACATTTTTTATCTGTGGCAACTTGCCATTGGCAAGCTCCATTCAGTTGAGATTGCTTGCTGTTTTGTGAGTGCCGAGCTTTAGCCGTTTGCTCCTCGGTCCTTCGGTTGAGTGCCGCGAAGGGATGGTATTATGTGATAATCGCGGGGGTATCAAGTCTCGGGTCTTGGTCCTCGTTGCCCTGCTGTTAGCCCAGCAGAGACTCTACTGTTATTGTCGAGTCACATTCAATCGTAGGAATCGAGCGGTTGTATGAGCATGTTATTATACCTTCCAGTTCGCGAATACGATTTTTGTTCAATCGTGGACTACTGGTTCATCTCCAAAATTAGTCGCGTCTACCTGTGCTCTTATACTTCACTGTTATATGCAGTGGACGTTAAGAGCATCGTAGAGCATTCGACGCTTCCCATCAGTCAAGCTTGCTTCATCTCGGATGATTCATTCAAATTTTTTCTCTCTAGATACCCAGAGTGCGACACTCTGAGTGACACTCAGAGGTGACTCAGACACTCAGATCTACGCTTTTCCCTCTAGGTACTCAGTGAGTGTCTAGAGAGAAAAGCGTAGATCTCGTCGAAAGCTCGGCGGGTTTTTATTTCGAAAAACCCGGACAAACTGCGCCGAATCGGTCATTTTGTGCTGGTGATCCTTAGGTCGAGTGGAGCCACAGTCGACGTGATGCTTGAGGCAGGGAAGCGTGTGGACAAGCAGTTTAGGTAGGAAGAGGAGGAACGTCTGCTTCATAGACATAGACGGGCAGTCGTTTGTCCTTTCGTACTGGGAATATAGTATCGTATCCTCGAGGTACGCGGACCGTGTTGGTGCCGACAAGATAGCATTCGTAGCACCAAGCGAATGGGAGGCGGGTAAGGTCCGCATTAAGGATCTCCGCACAGGTGAGGAAGGACCGCTCTCTTCCCAGGGCTTCCACGACTCGGCGATTCAGGTGACTCGGAGGCACGTGTACAAATAGATATACCGGTATCTGATCTTGCCAACGCTAAGTCGTATTTCGAGAAGCAGGCCGAGTGAATGGGCAGAGCGGAGCGCTGCATCTCCCAAGTTGACACATGGTGGTCGTATGCGACTGTTTTCAACCGAGTTTCTGTCCGCTGAACTGCCGTGTTCTGGAGGGTACATCTCTTATTTGTATTTAGAGACTTACCTTCCTCGACGATTATGAATTCTACCGCTGCAATCAGAGGACCCCGACTCGAGGTCCTCGAATGGAACGTCGGATCATTCGTGTCAAGACTGCTACTGCTTGGCCCAAGCTGCTTGGGTCTGTGAGCCAGTGAGGTTGGTGTTTGCGGTCATGCGCTTCGCGTGATGCGGAGGAGTACTTTCGATGTCGTTTCAGTTTCCATGGGCACGGGTTGCGGAGTAGATTTGAGAATCCTACTTGAGGCATTTTGTCAAGGTTAGGAGTCTTGAATCGGATGCGCTATGGTTAACTAGGCACGATCCAGGTTCAATCCCTGGTAGACGCTTTTTTAGGAACCCGGCTAATTTTCGCTCCCTGCTGGATCTTGGGAGAGTATAGACGAGCAACAGTTACAATAGCACGCTATAGTTGTGTATTGTGTCCTTGATCGGAGGTACCCCCGAATTTACCCAACCCCGAATATATATAGCGTGCGCCCAGCTGATCGATTTTCATTTTAGTGTCCCCTCCTTTGTGTTAGGTTCTTGTTGTTGATGGCTGTACATGAAGAGGCTCTGGTTCGTGGTTAGCTCTGTTCTGGCTAGTAGGGACGAGAAGGGAATTCCTTCAGGGAGTTGGGGAGAGAAATTCCGATTCGCGTTATCAGTAGCTAGTCTCTTTTCAAGTAAAACTCGCTGAACTGATAGAGGCAGCCTCCGTACAGGAGGTCGGGCTATGCAGTCTCGACTGACGCGTTGAGGAATACCCTAGGCATCGTTACTTTACAAAATCTGCTGCTTCTCGAGTGAGAGGTTCCAGAGGGTTTCTATCAGAAATCCCCTCATCCATCTCGCTCGATACGCCTCGTGCAGTCTGGTTCCTTTGAGCATCGATATGTCATCAACTCCTGCCGCTCCTGAAGTGGCAGTTTCTGCTCCTAGTGCTGCTGACAAGCTCGTCGTGCCAGAGGGGATGTCCAAAAAGCAAGCTAAGAAGCTGGCGAAGAAAGCTGCTAAAAAGGGGGGCGCCAAGCAAGAGTTTGAGAACGGTAATTTTCATCGGGGTCATTGCTCGAAAGATTCTCTTTCATGCCTCAGTGATCTCCTTTGATCCACCCAGTGGAACTCGGGACTTTTTCCCGGAGGACATGCGCGTGCGGGTAAGTGGGAGAGAAATCGTTCGGGTAATGTTTAGTGATCTCATTGACTGTTTCTCAGAATTGGCTATTCAGCCAGTGGCGCGCCGTCTCTACCCAATATGGATTTTCGGAGTATGATGCTCCTGTATTGGAGAATGAGGATCTATACAAGAGGAAGGCTGGGGAGGAGATTGTCGAACAGATGTAATTGATGAAGACGGGGAGGTTGATGGTCTCGAAGCTGGTTTTTGTGGCGAGTCTATCTCTGTCTGTACGATTTCGGAAGGGGGCGTCGCGCGCCACGAAATACCTTACTGTTCGCTCTATTTGGGAGACCTCCCGTCGTAGGTACAACTTCATCGACAAGGAGGATCATCACGTGACACTACGTCCCGAGATGACGCCGACTTTGGCGAGGATGGTCTTGTCAAGGGTCAGGATGAGCGCTGAGGGAAGCCATAATGCGGCGGCACAGATGGCTGAGGTAGACCTTTCTTCAGTCGCTCGCTCACCGGTGTAAACAATCTTTATTATGTTGAGACAGAGACCCTGCTCGCAGCGGTTAGCGAAGTTAGGCTACTCCGGAGGCTGATCGATGGAGTGTCTCCTTTGTCTACGTCAGGTCCTCCCTTTGAAGTGGTTCTCTATACCACAATGTTGGAGATTCGAGACAACTCAGCGTGGTCGGAAGCGTGAGCATTATCAGTGGAACTGCGATATCGTCGGTGAGGTTCCTTCCTATCCGAATCTTCGCCTGACTTCCTCCCTACTACAGGCATCTCTGATATCACTGCTGAGCTCGAGCTCTTGGCGACGATGGTTGGGTTTTTCAAAAGGGTCGGCCTCACCAGTGCAGATGTTGGTATCAAGTAAGATCTCTCTGATACCCTTGATCATCAAGATAAGTAATACACGAGTTGTATCATGTCTCCTCAGGGTGAACTCTCGGGCTATTCTACAGTCTGTCTTGAAGGCCTCTGGTGTCGGTGCTGATGAGTTCGCTAAGGTCTGCGTTGTCGTCGATAAGATCGATAAGGTTGGACGGGAGGAGGTGAGAACTCCGATCAAGCAATGACCTGGTCCTCGTGAGTGGTAGTCTATTGTCAAATTGTTGTAGGTCGTTAGGCAAATGGTTGAGGACATTGGACTCGACACGGCCGTTGCTGGTAAGCAGCATATCTTGAGGCATACATGAGCGTCTCTATTAGAACGTGTTGTTGATGCTACTGCCGCTGGGTCTATCGAGGAGTTCAAGTCGATCGCTGGAGAGAGCTGCACTGAAGGTGAGGGCCTTTGAGTCGCATTACTGCTCGGATAGAAGATGCGCTATACTGTGGGTTGTTTGGAAATAGAACTGTGTATTGTTGATGAGGACAGCATGGCTCGTGTCTCAAAGGCTTGAATGATCTTTATTCACGGTGCTCCCGTATCACGTTATCGCGGAACTTGCTATCGCCCTCGCTGCTTTGACTGATCTGGAAAGAGACTGCTTGAGTAGTGTAGTCGATCTTCCTTTTCAGATGTAGCAGATGTCGAGAGGCTCTTCGAGTTCGCTAAGAACTACGGCATTGATGATTGGCTCGTCTTCGATGCATCAGTTGTCCGAGGCCTGGCATACTACACAGGTGAGCGGAGCATACCTTCACCGTGGCTTTTCAATTTCGGTATTGATGCATCCTTAGCTTGTTCATGTGCCGTAGGTATTGTCTGGGAGGCGTTCGATCGAAAGGGTGAACTTCGTGCTATCGCTGGGGGAGGACGTTACGATAGGTGAGGCTCATGCTCTCACTAGGCCTCACGTCCTTGGTGACGGGCTCTGTATCGTCTTCTCAGGCTTCTGTCGCTGTATGGAGCCCCATCGGAAATACCGTGCGTTGGTTTTGGATTTGGGGATTGCGTTATTTACGAACTCCTTCTAGGTAGGTGTTTTCACTTTGTGGCGCTCGGTAACTGTCAATGTTTCAGAACGTGGCCTCCTACCCGAGATTCCCCATCGGGTTGACTTTGTTGTAGCGGCTTATAAAGGGATGTACGGTCAGGCCTTGGAAGTGGCTGCCGGTCTCAGGTAACGGGACGAGCTTGTTTTATCAATCCAATGCACTTGAAAAAATTCACCAATAATCCTTATCGACTCCGGCAATTGTGAGCTGTTTTTGATGCATGTCATGTAAAATGAACCGGGATTCTCATATCACAAACTCTCAAAAAGACTGTGGTATGAGAAGCCCGCTGGTATGAGAAAAAGCGACTCTCCTTTTCTCGACGGACATATGCTACATGTCCTAGCATGTTGCTTACACTCAAGTCCGCGAGTGCGCAAGCAAGGTAGTTGCTCTGCACGGATGGCTCTGATCCCGAAGACCAGTGTGCTGCCTGAAGCAGCCCAATTCTGTCTGATTCAAGACGACCGCAGAAACTGGCTAAACCTTAGCATGAGACTGACCGACACATACACGATGCCCGAGTTTGAAGGCTTTCGAACCTTTTCTATCTATTACAGCCTCCATTCAGTAGAATGGTTACTGCTTACTGTATTCTGAGTATTGGACCGTAGCCGTTTTCTCTTCGATTCTTCGGTTGGGCATCGCAATGGTGTTATGCGATGCAACTAATAATCACTAGAGTGCCGAGTGTTCGCCGAGTCATCATACCATCAGGTCGCGAATACGACTTATGTTTGATCGCGACCCAGCCGCATCTATACATGCTGGTATACCTCACTTTTATACGCGTTGAGGTTGGGAAATGTCCTCATGGAGTTGAGGTCTCCCGTCAGTCGAAGGGTGTATTCAAATTTTCTTTTCTGTGGCGCCTAGAGTGTCTAGAGTGAAAAACGTGGATCTCGTCGAGGCTCTAGCGACCTTCTACTCTGGAATTTCCGTGTGGGGTAAACCGTACTGAATCGGTCATTTTGTGCTGGTGATCTTCAGGTCGAGTGGAGCCACAGTCGACGTGATGCTTGAGGCAGGGAAGCGTGTGGACAAGCAGTTTAGGTAGGAAGAAGAGGAACGTCTGCTTCATAGACATAGACGGGCACTCGTCTGCCCTTTCGTACTGAGAATATATTATCGCATCCTCCAGGTATGCGGATCGTGTTGGTGCCGACAAGATAGCATTCGTAGCACCAAGCGAATGGGAGGCGGGTAAGGTCCGCATTAAGGATCTCCGCACAGGTGAGGAACGGCCGCTCTCTCCCCGGGGCTTCCACGACTCGGTGATTCAGGTGATTCGGAGGCACGTGTACAAATAGATATACCAGTAGCTGATCTTGCCAACGCTAAGTCGTATTTCGAGAAGCAGGCTGAGTGAATAAGCAGAGCGAAGCGCTGCATGTTTCGTTTACCACTAGATACGATTTCTGGGCACGTCTTGTCTTTCGTCAGCATTCCTTTCTGTCGGGTTTCTGCTCATCCTCATAGCTGTGTTGTTCAATGGACTCCATAGTTACGAGTCTTCATGGATCGTGAAGCCTCATGATTCTGTTTGCCTCGTACTGTTCTGAGAGAAATTCTCTCGCTCTTATCACTATCATGCTGCAGTTGTGCCTTCGGCATGGCGAGCCTCTTCAACCTACGGGCATTAACGGGGCGGTTGAATAGCCCTCCTTATGCCTTGAATGCGCGTCGATACATTCCTACCACACCTGGACGAACATGCGGTTTCACGTGAGAATACTCGTGATGTCGCTATCATCTCCTGGTTCTGTCAGGCGTCCGACACGGCGGATCATGAAGTCGCCCGAGATACATCCCAACATCAAACCCAAGCTGAGTACGGGCTTTTTACTCGCCATGTCGTCGGAGCTCTCTTTCCCAGGACTCGAACTGTGTCATATTCGATCTTTGACTGATCTTTCCCCGACGTTTGTGGTACATACTTTGTAGTTGATGTCATTGAGAGAATGAGTAGTAGCTACCATTGGGATGCTGTCATCGTAACAATGTGCGTTGCAAAAAAACACTGAATATACACTTAGTCGGTCGTCTACTACGGCAGGTCGTAGTGATGTCGCTCGTTCGGGACGGCATTTCATTCCGTTTATTCAGGCCAATACCGGATGTCGGTGATGGCCAATGGACAAGTCACTCTGGTGAGCCCTTACCCTAAGAAGCTGAACAAGTCCCTGGTAGGCCTTCGCTCTTGTTTTCATTCTATAGCAAGTTGCGTCTTCTGAGAGCGTTGTCCGGTTTGAGAGTGTACACCACGCTTCGCATGAAAGCACACATGTATGGTCTCTGTGATCGGTTATTGGTTTAGCCCGAATCGAAGATGGACAAGCATTGTAAACGATTCGGCTATCGCGAAGAAGATGTTATGCGATGGAAGAATGTGGAATATAAATGGGTAATCAAAAGGTCTTGGGTTCTATACCGAGACTCTACATCCAACATTCCCTGGCCTCCGAAGAAGTGGATCTGCATACTTTGCGTTGGAAACTAGGTGGTTGATAATGGCATCGCCAGGATTCGAACCCGGGATCTCTCGCAGTCGGCCATCGCGTTTGTTTCTAGGAGTATAAATCAAGTTACAAGCCGAATCATTATAATCTATGGGCTGGCTCGATGGAGAGGATCGTCCGAGACCCGGTGACCAAAAAGATGACTAAAGAGAAGATACCGCTCGACCTTCGTTGGTCTTAACACGTGCGATGCACAGCATGTCTCGTTTCTGGGCCTTCGTCACGAGTTTTGTACAGTTCGTGAGATCTTTTCTAGTAGTAGAACGAATATACATTGATGAGTGTTGATCGCCAAAAGCAGAAGACGTAAGTAGTGTTGTTGGGCAAATCTCAGATCAATCGCGATGAATATGGATATCACTGATCGTAATCTGCTTAACCAATAATGGTATTCCTCCTATGGTGGAAGGCCCAACCTGGAGAGCTCCACAAAGGATCTGCCACTGCCTCGCTTCGAATCGATCGAGCGTACTTATCACGCCCCCGTGTAACGTCAACTGATTGCACTCTGGATCATTCAAACTCCGAGCAATGCTGAGCTCATTAGATCAGAAATTAATAGAGCTTTGGGACGTTGCCAGTTTCACAGAACACCTCTTGATCGCGAAAAGAGGGTTTTAGGAATCTTTATCTAGGCGCGTTACCTGTGATACACAATGATCACTGTTCTGCGTGAAATTCACGGCGAGGATAGCCCTTCAATCCGCACGATGGTTTGGCTACCATTGACACCAACGATCTCAGATTTCAGCTGTCCAATGGGATATAATTCGTCTTAAAGAACGGAGCTGGGATGAGTGAGTTCAGGCGTTGTCGTTCGTTTCATTGCGTTGTGCATCGGACAGGCTTGAGCATTCGAATTTCATGTGTTCACCAGCCTTGCTCAAGCACATGTAGTTTGAGCGATTCAAACCAGCCCTGGTCAATTCTCTGACCAGGTTGTAACCAGTCGAAAATTCTACAGGCGAGAATATTCCTTCTTTATATGGTCTCTGCATCAAATCGGCGAACGCAACAGAGCATTTGTCAAACTCCTTGAGTAAGCGCCTTGTTACTTGCTTTCGGGAACCGAATCCGGATCGGTATTACTCTAATATCGTATCGAAAATAGGTATGAAATTAAGCGTATTCATCTTTGTACTACTTGACGACCGTCTAAGAATATCAACATGCAACTTGATCGCTCATTGAGACAGCACACGTTGATCCAAACAATTGACCTTTCGACTATTGAGAACCAACGCAAGGCTATAAGCTAAGGACACAATAAGGCGACACACGAATCGATCGCCAATGGCAATCGAAAAGAAGCAACACATTTGGCGAGGAACGAAAAGACAGTATGAAAACGGTCTCTTACGACAAATTAAGCTTGAATATCACAAGAGCATGGGATATTAGTACCCGAGCATACTGATGGATTAGACCAGTATTTACAGTAGCTACCACTGTACTGGGAACAACAGAAGTCGTCACCATTCGCGCAGCTAAACGGAGTTGTTGAAGGTGCAGCTGAGGTACTCGTCATCGATCCACTTGTGGTAGTGGTTATAACCTCATCACATGAGCATTCGATATTGGAGCCAGAGCAGATCCGTGGAACTTCCCAGTATTTACAGTAGCTACCGGGTATGTATGAGCCACACTGCTCATCACCGATGATACAGTCGACCGGCTCACAAGCTGTAGTAGTAGCAGGAGTAGTGGTTGTAGTAGTAGCAGGAGTAGTAGTTGTAGTAGTAGCAGGAGTAGTAGTTGTAGTAGCAGCAGGAGTAGTAGTAGTGGGACAAGTAAAGGAAGCCGGGAAAGGCCATACGACGAACCTCTCGGGATTCGCATTATAATCCCAAATTGTGGTACCCCAATTGAAACTAAATCGGAGGCATCCATCGTCAGCATTAACAAACTGGTCAATACCGTGACCGGCGCCGCAGCCTCCTGCAAGTAATGTGGCTTCTCCATCGGGGGTGTTGACACAATGGACATAAACAGCGGCATCACCATATCGATAGATGATACTGTCAGGGTAAACATCATACAACCAGTGAACGACATCGAAACCAAAACGTCCATTAATGGTGAAGTTGAACTTGAATACTCTCGTAGGACTTGAAGGCTCCCACTTCACAATACGATACTCCTCACCAGTGACAAGTTGAGAGATGTAGAGATAACCTTGCATAGATCTCACACTTTGGGGATGATACAAATGCATATCATCATCAATCGCCTTACCATCAGCATTACCAGCGACAAGTTTTTTCGGCGAAGTTTCAACACCATCCGATATCGGATCCCATTCATAGACCTGATTGTTCTTGCTATCAACAGCGTACAAGTAAGGATGATCATCATTCTGATTCCAACTAACTGATGTCCAAGTATGTTCACTACTCGCAGGCTCCAAAACCTTGTACTCACCTAAACCAATATCACTGGTCTCGGGAGTGCCATAGAGTCTGATCTCGTTGTCAACAATAGCCCAAATATACATCGGGGCATAGCTATCGTGTTTGTAATCAGTAGAAGCAGCAGCGATTGAGTCGGCCTTAGCATTGATCATCACCTCCCCCGTAGGAACACCATTGAGGGTAGTAGTAGTCCGGAATACCGAGTAATCACCAGTGCTCAGATTTTGAGCAGATATGAGGAAATCCCAATAACCTTTCATCGTCATATCATAGTCAACCATCTTAATACCATCACTTGGTAGTAAATCACACGAGATGAGATTATCGTAACAGTCCTCTACAACAAAGACATTATGGTCTTCCTCACACCAACCACTAGGGACTCCAGAGGCCATTATAGCGGCGACGGTACTCACAAGAATAGCGAATCCAAACATAAAGGGATAATAACAAGCAACTACCAACGACAACAAATGATTGAGTTCAATATCTATGGAAAATGTTAGTTCTACCCTACGGCTATTCTAGCTACAAACAGCTTCGTCTCTTATCTTAGCTGATTAGACAAATCTAGCACAGCACACAACTGGTTGTCCTCAGTCCCATCGTACCTTCTGTTGGCCTTTGTTCTTCATTGGCTGGAATGTTGTTTTGTTTGGGGGAGGGGGGTGTTACGGTAGTTGCTCCCGTAGTCCTATGCTAGATCGACGCTATATTGCTACTATTGGCTGACCAGAATTGAAGTCAGCATTTGTCAGCGCGGGCAGGTTTCTAGTTGAAGGACGACGTAGGCGCGAACGTTTCCGATGGTACGTCGCATGATCTATCCAAGTCTCCTGGGAGCGACCTTTCAGTGATGGCCATTCGTTATTAATTGAGCAGGTCTCCTCGGGGGTCACAATATTGTGACAATACTTTGGGAGTCCTTCGGTTTCATTACTTTTCGCGACCAATTCTTCGTGGGATTCTGCCGTTTGCACGCGTTATGAGAATCAGCTAGAGTGCAAATTCATTTTGCGCGGTTTCGCCTTGGAGTTGTCGAGATACGACGTACGAAGAGTAGGAGTATGTATATTGGAAGATTCGCGATTGTGCGCGGGAACTCGAGATAAAAAGATGATGTCACGAATTATCACCTCAAACACCATGTCGCCTCATACAGGCGATTTTCAACCCGAATCTTCTTCGACATTGAGTTGGTCAGAGTCAAAAGACTCGTGTGAAAGTTGAATCGCAACAACACGTGCAGTCCCCTGAAATGGTTGAGTTATCGGCCACCAGCAGCGGCTATGCAACACTCACTCCCGACGAAGTGCACTACAAGATGTGTAAGAAGATAGCACAGTTAACGAAGGTCATCTTCCATCTGAACTCGAAGAACGAGGAGAATGAAAGATTAGTACAAGCACACACGAAGACCTACGAGAGAGTATGATCATCCGTTAGCACTTAGAGGAAGAGGAGAAAGGTTCTCACTCCTCAGGAGGTCGATGCTTTAACGATCGAGTACAACACCCGGGTGAAGACTTTACGTGATCTAGTCAAGCAAACAAAGATCAAGGAAGAGAACCTTGTGGGTGAAGTCGACGATGCGAAGGCCGCTGCACGCAAAGAAAAAGAGAAAGCGGCAGAGGTATGCCGAGAGGGAGCATACTCTCTCAATGTCGAAGCATCAACAGTCATAGCTGTTCTGGTCAGAGAGTTGAGTGTCTCGAGGAAGAGTTCACAAGGGCTTGTAAAGGACAGGAAGAGGCCTTCGAAAATGAGCTCGCCAACGTTCTTTCGAGGGTTCGAGTCACACAGGTGTGACTAAGTGTACCATTGGGAGTTGTTCACTCAGTCTTCAGAGCGAGAATGAGAAAGAAAGAGCAGCGCTCATGAACTCGATAAACGAGTAAGGGATTGTCGAACTGCTCACGTTGTCCCCTCGCTGGGAGGCGGCGCTCAACTATTAGTATTCTAGGTTGAAGCATCAACATGTCGCTGAAGCAGAGGCTTCACGCAAGGCACATGAGCGACAGCTCTCGTTAGTCAACTCACAACTGGAAACAGCAAAGGAGGAATGGGAGAAGCAGCTTATACTCAAACGAGAGGCGTGAGTCAACGCGAAGTGTCTATTCAGTCGAGCTGTAAACAGGCATACTAAGGAACTGAAGAAGTTGAATGAAAACCATAGAGCGGCTTTGATTAATGCGGAGAACATTCTGGTGGGTTTCTATGATAGTTGAGGAACTCTGAGAGTGTTGTAGAAAGAAAAAGCCGAGAAGGCAGAGAAGAAGCTGAGGTCTGAAATGTTATGCATGGAGGAGAGGGTAAGTGAACTCCAACGCAAAGGTGCTGTTGTCATCACCTGGAATGTACCAGGTAGAGGCTTTGCGTGGCGAGTTGACGAAAAGAGAGAAAGACCTGGAAGGACTGCGGTCCGTGCTTGAAGACTCACGCAGGCAACTCAGCGACTTTGAGTGTAATGCTATCCTTAGATGAAGAACAACTGAACAGTGCCTTTGTACGCAATACCATCATCATGTCGAGCTTCTTATATACTACTATGTCGACTGTACGGTTATGATGATCAGTTCGCGTATTTCAGCTGAACTCAGTAACAAAGATGCGAAGGTGGTGGAACACGAACGAGAGTTACTTGAGCTACAGAAGATGGTGGATCAACAAGACGCTTTCTTGCGAGAAAAACAGGGGGAGATTGAACAGCTGGAGGGCGAGAAAACGAGGCGAGTCTCCTCAGCCTGGGAGTCCCAGCGCTCCTGCATCCTCACAGTTTTTGCGATTAAACTCTACACAACAAATCTTCAGGCTCTCGTCGGCGTTGCAGAAACGAGACTGTGAGCTAGCTCAGAAGGCTTCCAATGCTGGCGCTGTCACTGAAGCCCTACGAGAAGCTGAGGTGGGAATGAGCTGGTGAATTCGTCAGCAACTGGTCGGGTAGGCTCGAGTCAAGGAGAGAGATAATGCTCTTGCTGATGCTTCCGCTGAGAATGCGCGGTTGAAGAGTGATCTCTTAGGGCTGCGTGGGGAACTGAGGTCTTCTCAGGAGCGAACAAAAGAAGAAACTGAGCTCTTGTAGGGATTCGGTGGATTTACTATCAGCTCTCCCAATCGAGATTTCTAGGGAGAATGAGCTTCAGCTCGCGAAGGCCCACGCTACGAGGCTCGACACAGAGTGGCAGAAAAAGGTGGAGACCGCCGTCGCAAATTCCAAGGCTGAGATAGATGAGCTCAAGAGGGGGCATAGGGAGGAAATGGAACAAACTTCTCGGAACTTCGAAACGGAGATCGCGGTGAGATCAACCAACTGAGATGCCTCTCCAAGCTCCATCATTACATCGTCGTAGATCAAGAATCGCAATCTCACCGAAAGAACTGCAATCGATTGCCGTGTGCCATCATGGCACCCAGCAACCGGTGGCATGGCACTGCCATGCTGCATCGATTTTGGATCGATCTGCCTTCCTGTAGACTGAGGTTTCTTGTGTGGTTTCACAGATCACGGCTCGCATAAAAATTCGATAATTTAGAGATACTCGAGAAATTTCGAATCACATCTTCAGCATTTTGTCTCGGAAAACATCTTTCTGCTCCACAGGAGCTACGTAAGGCGAGACATGATAGCGAGGTTCGTCTGGCAGAGTTCCAGAAAGCTGCATTGCATTCCAAGGAGGAAGCCTATGAGCTCGAGAAGAACAGGATGGAGAGGTATGTGTAAAGGGGCTCGACGGACCAAGGTCCACGGATTGCGTTCTGGTGATGTATGAGTCTCAAGATGGGAGCACTAGGTCGAAAAGCTTCGCGTGAAAAGCTCGTCAGTTCGGCTATCTGGTGTTTTTTCTGACTGTCAGTACTTTCCTTCAGGGACCATGAAGCCAAATTGGAGCAGGCTACAAGGAGACACCAGGATGAACTCGCAAAGGCGGAGTCACGCTCTGAGGAATGGAAAGCTGAGAAGGAACGACTCGGAGAATGCCTTGAGAAGGTGGAGCGTAGAAAACGCGTAGGATCACTGTCATGTTTTCCTCCAATTTCTACCTCTACTCAGGATTTGGAATCCACTGTCAGTAACCTCGAAGAGCGCTTGTTGAACAAGAATTCCGAGCTCGACCGGGAGGCAGCCGCGCACAGATCGGCTGTCGAGGGACTGATGAAGCAGTTCGAGGCGGAGATGGAGAGAAGACTGAGAGCTGCGGAGGAGACACTTTTGAAGTCTGAGCAGGTCTGTCGATCATCACCGTCATTACGCGAGGTTCTCAATGAACAGATGAAGAGATCGGAGGCGTTGTCGGAGAAAGAGAAGCGGGTCGATGAACTCAACTCTAAGGTACACTCGTTCAAATGGCTTGTGCGACATGAGAGATGAATTCGTTAACGCTATTTCCTCGGGATGGTTCATGAGAAACAATCCGAAACGGCCGTGCAATATCGAGTGCTACGTTGGAAGGAGGGTGATGGTTCGTCGCAGATTGGATTACTGATGGCCGAGCTCAATACTATTGGAAATGAGTCTGCGAAAGAAAAACTGCGAATGGAGGGAGTCCTGGAAGCGACAAGGAAAGGAGCACAGGAGAGAGTAGAGATATTGGAGGGTAAGTGAGCTGAATCTCCACATAGTATCCACATCGTCTATCTGACGAGTATGCTTGATCTCCATTGATGATGCTCTCGCTGATAGGGCAGATGGCTGAGAGGTTGTCGTCGATGGAGGAAGAGATGGAGTCAGAAAGGGAGAGGTGGAAGGAAAAAGAGGAGAAGTTGTTAGGGGACTTCAACGCTAGGATGGGAAGGTTAGAGGCAGAACATAGGTGGGGATGGGGCTATCAGGGTATGTTGGGAGGAGGAGAATAATGTACCTCTCCACGTGTTGGGGTAGAGATGGCATGTCGTGGGGCGATTATGCCATGTGTTGGGGCGACTATGCCATGTCGTGGGGTGGGTATGCCATGTCATGGGGCGACTATGCCATGTCGTGGGGTGGGTATGCCATGTCATGGGGCGACTATGCCATGTCGTGGGGTGGGTATGCCATGTCATGGGGCGACTATGCCATGTCGTGGGGTGGGTATGCCATGTCATGGGGCGACTATGCCATGTCGTGGGGTGGGTATGCCATGTTGTGGGGCGACTTCGTCACGTAGTGGAGCCGCTCCACTGGAGCGGGTATATCATCTCGTAGAGGACCATGCCACGTCGTGGGGGCGCGTATGTCGCCCCATAGCGCGACCATGCCACAGCATGGGGCGACTATGCCATGTCGTGGGTCGATTTTGGCAAGCGATTGAGTGCAATAATGCCATATTGCAGGGATGGTTATGCCACGTGGTGGGGCGGCTGTACCCTGTTGGGGCAATGATGCCATATTGCAGGGATGCCTATGCCACGTGGTGGTGCAGATATGCCATCTCGCGCAAGACAAGAATCATACGGGATGATACGTGTTCTTCCCATTTCAGGCAAAAACTAGAGGAGACCCGAGACGGAGTGACAAAAAAGTGGGAAGAAGCTCGTGCCGCTGACAGGGCTCGATTCAGCCGGGAATTGGTAAAGGAGTGGTATGGGACTATCGTCTCCTTGTTAATTCATGCGAGATCATGTCGTTGCCATCATCACAGCACATCATCAGGAACAGAAACAAGCGCGGCATGAGGCAGCTGTACGATGCTTGAAGGCCGAGCATCAGACAGAGGCGAAAACTCTGCGGGATGAGATGCAGAAGGCTCGAAGGACTCTGGAAAGTCGCATCGAGGAAGCACAGGAATCCAAGAAGAAGAACGAGGATGAACTCAACCGCAAACTGGACGAGGTACTGACTAGGTTCGAGATTACCTAGCTATAGCGCGACATTTTGCCAGGCCAAGCACGCTTTGCTCGAACAGGACCGTAAGATAA